GAGGCCAAGGCAGGTGGATCACCTGAGGTCAGGAGTTCGAGACCAGCCTGGTCAACATGGCAAAATTCCCATCTCTGCTAAAATTACAAAAATTAGCTGGGTGTGGTGGCGCATGCCTGTTATCCCAGCCACTCCGGAGGCTAAGGCAGGAGAATCACTTGAGCCTGGGAGGCAGAGATTACAGTGAGCCAAGATTGCACCACCGTACTCCAGCCTGGGGGAGAGGATGTGTAGAAAAAAACCCAAAAAACAAAAAACAAGGCCGGGCACGGTGGCTCATGCCTGTAATCCCAGCACTTTGGGAGGCCGAGGTGGGTGGATCACCTGAGGTCAGGAGTTCTCAAGAGCAGCCCAACCAACGTGGTAAAACCCTGTCTCTACTAAATACAAAAGATTAGCCAGGCATGGTGGCACGTGCCTGTAACCCCAGCTACTCGGGAGGCTGAGGCAGGAGAATCGCTTGAACCCAGGAGGTGGAGGTTGCAGTGAGCGGAGATTGTGCCAGTGCACTTCAGCCTGGGCGACAAGAGGGAAACTCCGTCTTGAAAAACAAAACCAAACGAAGCCTTTTTTCATTTTAATTTTTTCATGTGGAGGCAGCCGTCTGTCTTATTAAGGTCAGGATGCTGTAATACAATACCATAGACTAAATATTTATTCCACACAGTTCTGCAGGCTGGGAAGTTCAAGAGCAAGGTGTTGGCATACTCAGTATTTGGTGATAGCCTTCTCCCTGGTTTTAAAACAGCCACCTTCTTGCTGTGTCTTCACATGGTGGAGTCGAGGGGTGTCTGGTCTTTTCCTCTGCTTACAAGGTCCCTCGTCACAGTATGGGGGCTCTACCTTCAGGACCTACCTCATCTAGACTAATCACCTCCCAAAGACTCTGTCTCCAATACCAACACACTGGGAATTAGCCTTCTACAAGGGACTTGCATTACGCTGAGCACTGAAGCTCCCAGCAGCGCCCTGTGTAAAACACTGTGCTAGCGGTTGCTTCACTGGCTGGTAATGGTCAAAGTATATTTAGATCATATTTGCAGCTGATCCTGGCATTATCTACACTGAAGCCACCAATGTCATCGATGATGTGCAGCTACTACATCAAAACCGGAGATCGCTTGTTTGGTTAACTTTTTGTTATTCATCAAAGATCTGACTATCATCTACTGGCTTGGTTTGCCTTTCTGTCTTTCCTTTTTCTGAGATGGAGTTTTGCTCTTGTTGCCCAGGTTGAAGTGCAAATAGAGCGATCTTGGCTCACTACAACGTCCACCTCCTGGGTCAAGCGATTCTCCTGCCTCAGCCTCCTGAGTAGCTGGGATTACAGGCATGCACCGCCACACCTGGCTAATTTTGTATCTTGAGACGGGGTTTCTCCATGTTTGTCAGGCTTGTCTTGAACTCCCAACCTCAGGTGATCCGCCCACCTTGGCCTCCCAAAGTACTGAGATTACAGGCGTGAGCCACCACACCCGGCCGTCTCTATTGTTTAAAAATCAAAAGTGAAAAAAACATAAAAAAGAGGCCGGGCGTGGTGACTCACACCTGTAATTCTTGGGAGGCCAAGATGAAAGACCAAGGTGAGCCAAGATGGGAGGATCACTTGAATCCAGGAGTTGAAGACCAACCTGTTCCTACAATACGATCCAGCCATTCTGCTCCTAAGTATTTACCCAGGGAAAGTGAAAAGTATGTTCCTACAAAGTCCTGTACCTAAGTGTTCATAGTCGCTTTATTTGCAATAGCCCCAAATAAGAAACAACCCAGAAGTCCATCAACAGGTGAATGGATCAGCAAATTGTGGTACCTGCATACAACAGAATACAACGCAGCAATAAAAAGGAGAAAACTATTGATAAGGGCAACAACTGGGATGGAATTCAAAATAATTACATTACGTGAAAGAAGCCGGGGGGTGGGCATGAAGAGACACATGCTGCATCACCCCATTTATAGAAAATGCAAAGCCTGAGTAGTGACAGAGAGAAGGTCAAAGGTGCCTGGGGATGGAGAGCAGCAAGGGGTCCCTAAAGGGCCCTGAGGTGATGGATCTGTTTGCTATTTTGATTGTAGCCAGTTTAATGTATATGGTGTGCCTATATATCGGACGTTATCCAAACTCAAACATGTGCAGTTTATCATATGTCTGTTTTACCTCAATAAAGCTGTTTTTTTTTTGTTTGTTTTTGTTTGTTTAACAAAAAACAGCCTGGGTGATGGCTCATGCCTGTAATTCCAGCACTTTGGGAGGCAGAGGTGGGTGGATCACTTGAGGTCAGTAGTTCGAGACCAGCCTGGCCAACATGGTGAAACCTCATCTCTACTAAAAAATACAAAAATTAGCTGGGTGTGGTGGTGCACGCCTGTAATCTCAGCTACTCGGGAGGCTGAGGCGGGAGGATTGCTTGACCATGGAGGTTGCAGTGAGGCGACATCTCGCCACTGCGCTCTAGCCTAGGTGACAAAGTGCGAGTCTGTCTCAAAAAAAAAACAAAAAAAACGGCAGAGGGGCCCTTAGAACAGTAAACCGAAAAGTGACTGGGGCAGGTCTCAATGGAACAGTGGCTTATTTTGCCAAGGCTGAGGCCAGGCCTAGGGAAGAGAAACACAAGTCACAGTAGGATCTGTGGCCTGTGCTCTTTCCAAAAAGGGTTTTGAGGATTTCAATATTTAAAGGGGAATCAGCAAGCCACGGGGGAAAGACAGAAGAAAAATGTGGGAATGGTGGACAACGAGGCAGGGGTCAGATTCTCGCTTGGCTTTGACATGCACTCAGTGAATTTACATTTTATTTATTGATTTATTTAATGTATTAGTTTTTATTTATTTTTCTGAGACGGGGTCTCACTCTGTCGCCCAGGCTGGAGTGCAGTGGTGCCATCTCAGCTCACCTGCAACCTCTGCCTCCTGAGCTCAAGTGATCTTTCTGTCTCAGCCTCCACAGTGCTGTGATTACAGGCGTGAGCCACTAAATTCCAGCCCAAATCTACATTTTACACAAGATAAAGTAGGCAGCTATCTGTTTGGAAAACCAAAGGAAAGAAGTTTGTGTTTGTTTTTTGTTTTGTTTTGTGTGACTCAGTTCCCAAGCTTAACTCTGCCCTTGCATAGTGAGTTTTGAGTCCTGAGATTCTGTTTTTCCTTCATAGGTGCAAAGGGGCTGGTAGCAATGTTGCCAGCTGCCCTGGGGCTACAGCGGGATTGGCAGTGGCTGGCTGCAGGCAAAAGGGGCCATGGGAGACAGTGAGGCTGTAGCTGGCCGGGCTGGGGCAGGGTTCCCGGAACCTTCTACGGCCGAGAAACACTGCCCTCGGTGACTTCTCCTGTGAGGTCTCACTCCCCTGGAACTTGGCATTCCTTTTGATCCCCATCCCATAACCCACGCCCCTCCTCCTCCTCGGCCTCCCGTGAAATCTTGCTTTCAATGCATTCTTACAAAATTATTATTACTTTTTGAAACAGGGTCTCACTCTGTTGCCCAGGCTGGAGTGCAGTGGTACAATCATGGCTCACGGCAGCCTCAACCTCCTAGGCTCAAGCAATCCTCCCACGTCGGCCTCCCAAGTAGCTGGGACTACAGGCACAGGCACTTGCCACAAAATTTATTTATTTTTCTTTATATTATTTAGTTAAAGAAACAAGAGCAAAAACTCTTGATGTTGGCTCATGGCAACCTCCACCTCCTGGGTTCAAGCAATTCTTCTGCCTGTCTCCTGAGCAGCTGGGATTACAGGCGAGCGCCACCACGTCTGGCTAATTATTTGTATTTTTAGTAGAGATGGGGTTTCTCCATGTTGGTCAGGCTGGTCTCAAACTCCCGACCTCAGGTGATCTGCCCGCCTCAGCCTCCCAAAGTGCTGGGATTACGGGCGTGAGCCACCGTGCCTGGCCAAATTTATTTATTTTTCATAGAGGCAGGGTCTCACTATGTTGCCCAGGCTGGTCTTGAACTCTTGGACTCAAGCGATGCACCTGCCTTGGCCTCCCAAAGTGCTGGGATGAGAGGCGTGAGCCACCAGGCCTGGCCACAGAATGATTCTCTGAATCGCACGCAGGTGCTGACTTCACTCAAATGAGCTCTCCCCTCATTCTGGTTTCCTTCTCACCCCAAGCTGTTACTGTCACTACCTACTGGACATCCTCTGGTGCCTCACTGCCCCCACTCACCTGCCTGCTTTCCCAGTGACGGGCCACCCAGGCTGCCCACAGGTAAATTCACGATAACTAGCCTCAAATTGTCCCCTTATCGACCTATGAGCCTGTCTTTGCAAAAAAAAAAGCCAGGAGCAGAACTCTTGGGTCATATATAAATGTATTTATCTTGGTTATATTCCTGTTACATTTGCTCCTAAATGTTTACTAAGATTTTTAGAGCTGGGCATAATGGCTCACACCTGTAATCCCAGCACTTTGGGAGGCCGAGGCAGGCGGATCACTGAGGTCAGAAGTTAAGAGACCAGCCTGGCCAACGAAGTGAAACCCCGTCTCTACTAAAAATACAAAAATTAGCTGGACATGCTCGCTTGAACCCAGGAGACAGAGGTTGCAATGAGCTGAGATTTTGCCATTGTACTCCAGCTTAGGTGAAACTCTGTCTCAAAAAAAAAAAGAAAAAAGGATTTTTAGGACCCAAGAAAGCAGCGTAAGTATGCATGGTGGGGCGGAGAGGCACACATCCTTTGCACTATCCTGCTAGGACTGTCAGATTTGGCAAATAAAAATACAGGAAACTTGGTTACATTTGAATTTCAGATAAGCAACCAACCCTTCTATAGTATACTAAAACACTACTGTTTGTTTATCTGAAATTCAAATTTAGCGGGCATCCTGTATTTTACCTTGCAACCCTACCTCCAACTGAATACATAAATTCAAGGTTTTATGGCTCTTCTCAGATTGAGGAATAGAACCATGGAATCCTGGTTACACATCAGAACTGGGGAAACTCCGTTTGGTTAGAAGTGATGGAATATATTTTAAAAGTCCACACGACAAAATGACAATAAACATTTATTAAGCTGTAATTTTCACAATATTTTAATTCTGTTCCGAGATCTACAAATACCTCTATGTAACACCAAAGCCAGTGATTTAATAAATAACAGGAATGTATATATCGCTTTGCAAAAAAAATAGGCCTGGTATGTTTATCTGTATATATTTGTAGAATCAGTTTCCCAAGGCTCATGAAACCAAAGTGCACACGCACGCCATGTACACACACACACACTATTATATTCAAATCAAATGGACTTAGCTTAGGCGCCAAATTAAATGCTATCCAAAATTGATAACCAGATACACAAAATATGAAGTTGGTCGTGAATACACTGTTGATAACGGGTACCACAGCTCACAAGTGTGACTTCCAGTTAACGAGGGAAACGACTGCTTCATTGGACGTTTAGTGTGTGCTAATCATCATCACCATCACAGTTAATCAGCTTAATTACACGGTATTCAGAGATTAAACACACATGCAGATATTAAATTGACACTACAATAAAACCTTTAACTCTGCAAAAAGACGTTAGAACACATGGGCGATAATACCACGAGCTGCCACAGCTTCTCAGCAGACAGTGCAAAAGGCAATCAGCATTTTAAGCCACCACAAGAGAGAAACTGGTACTGGTGCACCTCCTACATGTCAAGGCAAAGCAAAACACGACGGACTATGCTGAATATTTGTTTACACCAGATACTACACATCACACCGATGGTTGTCAGTATGAATTTTAAGAGTATTGTGTTCAACTCTGCAAAATATATTCCTATTATTCACAAGTAAGGAGTCAAAGTCCAACTATTCAAATGGCCATAAACAAAAATGTCGCAGAAGGTATAGACCATTACAAATAAAAAGTTGGAAGTGGGGCAGCTGACCCCTTAGGAACCTCAGGGATTCCTTTTAACGCTGGATTGATGGCAAGAGCTGGCTTTCTGGTTAAGTCAGCCAGTTTGAAACCCATCAGGAAGTTACCAGGTGTCAACCTGTAAGGCAGATGTCATTTGTCAAAAGCATCTTAAGAAGTAGCAGCGGTTACAGAGAGGAAGCAATTCAGGATTTCCACTAGCGACAAGCGACATTAACCATGTCTTTAGGTTCTGCCTAAATGGCAGCTGTTATTCTTAACTGCTCCCGAAGCCTGCTGAATCACAGGGCCACAGGAGCAACTGGAGCTGCCCAAAGCCTCCCTTCCAGCCATGCAAAGTCATGTTTCAGTCTTCTTAACCACTGACCTGAACTTTGTGTTCTGACTCAGTTCCCCACAGGGAACCGCTCCACTTGGTTACCTCCACCGTAGTCATGGACATAGTCCCAGGTCCCTGACAGCTCTGCCTCCCGACTCCTGCATGAGACAGGCTTCATGTGAGACAGGCTCTAGTTTTTGGGGAAAGTGTATTAAACACCTCTCTATGGCATTCACCTCCCCTTTGTGAATGAAGATACAGGCACAATTCACAAGGCCTGCTTTCCAGAAATTCTATTGCTGTGCTCTTACCAGAAATGATATGGGGCCAACACCCAAAGCAAAAGAAACCAAAGGGCAGGTAATGCCGATTGGTATTGAAAGGTGTGTATATATGTGTGTATAAGTGTGTGTATATATACATACACTTTTTTATTTGAGACAGGGTCTCACTCCCCGACTGGAGTACAGTGGCGCGATCTCAGCTCACTGAAACCTCTGCCTCCTGGGTTCAACTGATTTCCCCACCTCAGCCTCCTGTGTAGCTGGGACTACAGGCACCCACCACCACACTTGGCTATTTTTTTTATTCGCAGAGACAGGGTTTCACTGTGTTGGCCAGGCTGGTCTCGAACTCCCGACCCCAAGTGATCCACCTGCCTTGGCCTCCAAAAGTGCTGGGAATGCAAGTGTGAGCCACTGCACTTAGCCTGGAAAGTACATTTATGAAAGGTTTACACTCCACAAAAGCATCTTTGCTAGGGTGTCAAGGAAGAGATCACTAAACCAACCCCAACACGCCCCTACAATTCCAGCAATCTAGAGATGGCAGGTTGCTTTTGTTTTTTGGATTATTTTGTGTTCTCAGTAAAACAAGTTATTTATTGTGATGCTGAAACAGTGGGAAATTAACACTGATTAAGATATGTTAAACACTGAGTCTTCATTATAACAGAACCAGTTTTCCTCAGAATGTTTTTACATCACATTCAGTGAAGTGTTGCACTAATATATCCTAGAGCCCTAAAGACATAAAAAGGTGTCTCCAGAGGTGTACGGTACAAACACACTTTTCCACACACAACAGAGAGCAAAAACAAGGAGATGTGGTGTGGCGGGGAGGGGCAGGCCCAATCCCAACAGCCTACAAGCTTCCCAGAGAACACGTACCTCCCTCAGAGGAATCCAAGTTAAAATGATGATCTTACCAAGATCTCAATGGAGCACAGTGCCCTTCATGATTCAGGTAAGCGGGTGAGAGAAGGAACAAAAACCCCCAATTATTTTGGGTTAAGACGTGCCCAAATGCAGGTGAAAGATATGCAGTGAAAACCAGGAGTTTTTCAAACCTAGCATCCAGGATTTCTATCAGATTTTAAATAATGTTCTACCCTGAGGTGACACCCACTTACTGTAGGTTATTTCATTAAAAATGAAGGTATCTTTCACTGGAGTGTAACGAACTATAAAATTGGCTTCGGAGCCTAAAGTGGAAAAAAATTGTGCATATTTTCGACAGCAATGTTGAATCGATGCTTGAGGTCTCAATCCACCAGCACCCAGAGAGCACGACACCTCCCTCAGAGGAATCCAAGTTAAAATGATGACCTTACCAAGATCTCAATGGAGCACAGTGCCCTTCATGATTCAGGTAAGCGGGTGAGAGGAGGAATGAAGTGGGTATTACACCCAGTCCAGTGACAGCTTAAGCCTCAACATGCCGGCATCTCACAATGACCACAAACAAGGGAAGGGCCAACGATCACCGGCTTTCTGCACGGAACATCAGTCGTCCCCTGGCCACCGTGAGCAAAGCTGTTTTAGTACCTAAACGTGGTACGGCCAAACGCACAAAAGGAAAGAAGATGACGATGACGTCCCTGGTTATTCATTATTAGGTGCGAAAACAGGCTCATGTCCAAGCACCTAATGACAAAACTGGCATGTACATGGATAAAGATTTGCTCTAGTAAATTTTTTAAAAATTATTTTCTTTAAAATTTTTTACTTTCTTCAGAGAAGCTCTGATGCATGCTCCAGTAAATCTTTTATTATTTATTATTATTTATTTTTAGATGGAGTCTTGCTCTGTCGTTGAGGCTGGAGTGCAGTGGCACAATCTCGGCTCACTGCAACCTCTGCCTCCCGGGTTCAAGCAATTCTCCAGCCTCAGCCTCCTGAGTAGCTGAGATCACAGGCACATGCCACCATGCCCGGCTAATTTTTCAATTTTTAGTAGAGACGGGGTTTCACTATGTTGGCCAGACTGGTCTGGAACTCCTGACCTCAGGTGATCCGCCCGCCTTGGCCTCCCAGAGTGCTGGGATTACAGGTGTACACCACTGCGCCCGGCCTGCTCCAGCAAGTCTTAAATATCCATGCACATTGAATAAACATGTACCTGAAACAGGTACATGGTTCAGGAAATAAACGGAAGTCTCCAGGAGAGTTTGGGTCCCATCATATGTACCTTAAAAACAGAAGCCTCGTCAACATCCTGGAAAACATCTGCCTCTGTGTTCCAGATACTTGCAACCAAAAATCACACTTTACAGGAACACAGGACAAGCAGTGGTAGACAGCTAACCCTTCTCCAAACTGAGACCTGGGCCTAACAGATCTGGCAGGGGTATCTACAAACCAGCATGCAGGGGACTGTGAGTGGGTTGCCAGGGCACATCCGTGGGCAGGCAAGGGCCACGGAGACAGCGTGAGCCCCAGCAGCTTCAAAGCTACAAAATGCTAGGCTTCCTTTTTTTTTTTTCTTTGTTTGAGATAAGTCTTGCTCTGTCACCCAGGCTGGAGTGCAGTGGAGCAATCTCAGCTCAATGCAACCTCCACCTCCCAGGTTCAAGCAATTCTCCTGCCTTAGCCTCCTTAGTAGCTGGACTATGGGCGTACACTACCACGCCTGGCTAATTTTTGCATTTTTGGTAGAGATGGGGGTTTCACCGCGTTGGCCAGGTTGGTCTTAAACTCTTGACTTCAGGTGATCCACCCACCTCGGCCTCCCATAGTGCTGAGATGGTGTGTGGTCTAGGGCTTCCTTTTTTAAAAAACAAGTTGCAGTGACTCACTCCTATAATACAGCACTTTGGGAGGCTGAGGAGATGGATCACGAGGTAAGGAGTTCAAGACCAGCCTGGCCAACATGGTGAAATCCCATCTCTACTAAAAATACAGAAAACTAGTGGGGCATGGTGGCAGGCACCTGCAATCCCAGCTACTCAAGAGGCTGAGGCAGGAGAATCGCCTGAACCCAGGAGGTGAGGGTTGCAGTGAGCTGAGACCGAGTCACTGCACTGCAGCCTGGGCAACAGAGCAAGACTCTGTCTCAAAAGAAAAAAAAAGTCCTAGCAAAGGGGCATTTCTACCAACCCCTGACCCACACCTTCTGAAGCTCCCTTGCCCGGGACCCCCACAGCTGTCCACCTCGCATGTCCCACTCTCTGCCCACAGAGACCACCTAAAATAAGGACAGAACAGACTTCAGATAAAAAGCACCTAACGTGTATCGTAAAAATTTCAGGAAAAATAATTTAGACCTTTTCAAAGGCTTGCTTATTGCTGCTAATTGTTCCTGAGAATCTTTCTCGGCAGCAATACACCTGAGAATGTTATTAGCTGCTACTGTTTGTTCTCCTTTGAAGGTCCTGAGGCAAACAAAAGCAAAATGAAACAAAAAGCCCTCAAGGGTGCAGTTTTCGTGGACGGGCCTAGTGAGCAAACTGCAAACTGGGACACTGAACTGGTTCTGGCGCGGCCTCCAGTCCTTGGCCAGGTACTTCCTGGCATCAAATCCCCAAGACATTTCTTGGCCCCTCCTTGCATTTTCCTTTTCAAAATGTTGAGATTAAAATACAGTGAAGCACAGAGGGAAGAAAGTCTCAGGCCTTCCAGAAATGGCGATGCCTTCATTTAGAAGCAGGCCGGACGGGGGCTTGGCAGGGGTCTCCAGGATCCAAGAGGCTGAGTCACAGCCCGCAGCTCGACTGTCCACATTTAGAAGTGACAACATTCATGAACTAAGTCAACATCCACCAAAAAGAACATGAAATAAAGCTCACAGTTTGGGAACATGAAAATAACACACACAGACCTCACCCACCGACCCCTAAGCTGCGAAAACAACGGCATTTAAACTTTCCTCAAATGTCAAATTAGCATCTTCTTCCCCTCCATGTCAATTTTGATAAACTTGACTCAATCTGCCTTTATTAAAAAACCTTACAAAAGATGTATTTAAATGCTTGAAAAAATTAACTTTATGCTCTATGCACAGATAAATTTCTTACTGTTCAGCTAAATATGGTTCTATCCTTTGTTTAAAAAATATATTTTCCCCACTGATGACACGTGCGTGCAGTTCCACATTGATCTTTCTGCTCTTCTGGGAACGTGTCCTGAGAGCTGCCGGATGGGTGGAAATACCCTCACACAGCGCCACTTTCTTGCTCAGTCGTGTTTATTAAGATTGTTTGGGGTTTGGGTTTTTTCCTCCGTTTTCGTTTTCTGAGACAGAGCACTGGTAACTGCGGGCCCACCCGGCCAGCTGACCTTCACTTGTCCTTGGAGCGGTCCAGGCTCTCGAGCACCCGGTTGAGACGGATGTTGAGCAGTCTGACCTGCTTCTCCAGGTGCTCCAGCTTCTCCTCCACGCTGGGGCTGCTCGTGCTGCTGGGGCTGCTTCGCCAGTAGAAGCCCATGGGCCCAGTCATGAAGTAGATGGCCACCACGAAGCACAGCGGCAGCACCGCATTCTCGGGCTCGCCCTCGTACTTGTGCAGGATGTACACGCAGGACATGGAAAATAAGACGACCCGCACAATCCAGAAGAAGCGGCCAAACACCATGTGCAGGACGCTGAAGGTGAAGCCCAGGGTCAGGGACAGGAACCAGTAGGCCAGGAGGACGACACCGACCAGCAGGAGTGCGCGGGCCGGGCTGCTGGACACCGAGTTTGGGCTGAAATACTGGGATAGGTTGGAGACTGTGGGACAGAAAAGAGGAACAGGGCTGGTTACACAGGGGCCAGGAGCTTCTTGACAAACAGAGCTGGCCTGCTGGGCTTAAAAGGCCTTTGTCACAATCCAGGGAGCTCAAGGAGGTTCTTCTGTGAACAGTCACGCTAAGCTCTATGAGGAGACCCAGGGAGACCCGTTAAGATGGCCTGCCATGTTGAGTTTAAAACACCTCCTCAGGCTGGGCATGCTGGTTCACACCCGTAATCCCAGCACTTTGGGAGGCTGAGGCCAGCAGATCACCTGAGGTCGGGAGTTCAAGACCAGCCTGACGAACATGGAGAAACCCTGTCTCTACTAAAAATACAAAATTAGCCAGGCGTGGTGTTGTGTGCCTGTAACCACACCTACTCGGGAGGCTGAGGCAAGAGAATCGCTTGAATCAGGAGGCAGAGGTTGCAGTGAGCCGAGATCGCACCACTGCACTCCAGCCTGGGTAACAAGAGTGAAACTCCGTCTCAAAAACAACAACAACAACAACAAAAAACCCAGCTGGGCACAGTGGCTCACACCTGTAATCCTAGCACTTTGAGAGGCCAAGGTGGGTGGCTCACCTGAGGCAGAGGTTCAAGACCAGCCTGGCCATCATGGTGAAACTCCATCTTAAATTAAAAAAATATAATAATAATAAAACAAAACAAAAAAACCTCTCCATACACTGGTTTCTCTTCAAATGGTATACATCTTTCACCTGCAGCCTGGGCAACATAGTGAGACCCTGACCTAGTTTGGCTCTGTGTTCCCATACAAATCTCATCTTGAATTGCACGTGCGGAGGAAGGAAGCTTGTGGTGGGTGGCTGGATCGTGGGGGTGGTCCCCTCCTTGCTGTTCTTGTGATGGTGAGGGAGTTGTCATGAGATCTGAGAGTTTAAAAGTGCGTGGCAGCTGCCCCCTTTGCTCTCTCTCCTGCCGCCTTGTGGAGAAGGTGCTTCCTTCTCCCTTGCCTTCAGCCGCAACTCTGAGTTTCCTGAGCCATGCAGAACTGTGAGTCAGTTAAACCTCTTCCACTGACACATTACTCAGTCTCAGGTATTTTTTTTTTCTTTTTTTTTTTTTTTTGAAAAGATGGGGTTTCACCATGATGGCCAGGCTGGTCTTGAACTCCTGACCTCAGGTGATCCACCTACCTTGGCCACCAGAAGTGCTAGGATTACAGGTGTGAGCCACCGTGGCCGGCTTTTTTTTGTTTTTTTGGAGACTGCAATGCAGTGGCACAATCTCGGCTCACTGCAACCTCCGCCTCTCATATTCAAGCAATTCTGCCTCAGCCTCCCGAGTAGCTGTGATTACAGGCACATGCCACTACATCCAGCTAACTTTTGTATTTTTAGTATAGATGAGGTTTCACCATCTTGGCCAGTCTCGTCTTGAACTCCTGACCTCAAGTGATCCACCTCCTCAGGCTCCCAAAGTGCTGGGATTACAAGCATGAGCCACTGTGCCTGGCCTCAGGTATGTTTTTATAGCAGTGTGAAAACAGATTAGTACAGGCCCAATCTCTAGAGAACATAAATTTTTACAAAACTAGCCAGGCGTGGCGGCACACACCTATAGTCCCAGCTACTCAGGAGACTGAGGTGGGAGGATCACTTGAGGCTGGGAGGTCACGGTTGCAGTGAGCCATGACGTACCACTGCACTCCAGCCTGTGTGACGAAATAAGACCTTGTCTCAAAAAATAACTTGTTTACAAAAAATAATTTTTTAGTAAAACACCTCTGGCAGTGGGGCATAGCCTGCAAATTGTCCTTCAATTTCCGCAGCAACAAATGCCCACTTTCAGGCTGGGCACACGAATGCCTAGGATTGAAGTGTTTCCCAGCCTCTCTTGCAGATACATAACTAAGCTTTGGCCAAGGAGAGGTGTGTGGAAGTCTTCTGCAGTAGCTTCAAAGGACTTTCCCTAAAAGTAGCAGAAATGTGTCCTTTATCTTTTCTGCCTACAGGAACATGGACACAATGGCTGGAGCTGGAGCAACCGTTTTGGAACATGAGGGCAGGGAAGTCACTCATGGACGAATAATGAAATGGAAGGTGCTTCCGTTCAGAGCACCACATGCAACAGGGCCATCCAACCTGCCTCACCACCTTCCTGAGAACTTCTGTATAAGAGGGAAATAAGCATCCACCTTGGTTAAGCCAATGTTATGTTGGATTTCTGTTTTGGCTAAACCTGATCCTATCTGGTACCCACACGCGAGTTTCATCTCAAGAATGCAATGAAACGTAAGAGTAGCATCTTCTGTGTGCCTGACCTAAGGAAATTCAAACAAAAAAGTTAAAAGAACAGAATATTCCTTTTGAAACTACCTAGACTGAACAATTATTAAAAATGACAAATGCTTTCTCTATTTACATGCTTTTTAAAATAACCCATTTGAAAGATGTACACATCATGCTTCATCACGCATCTTCTGAGAATAAAGACATCATTCAGCTTTTTCTTTTCCTCCCTGGCTGTGTGAGGATAGGCCACCATCATGAATGACAATGGTAACTATCCACACTAGAAAGTTCATGACCAACCGACTACTTCAGAGGAAACAAATGGTCACTGATGCCCTTCACCCCGGAAAGGCAACAATGCCTAAGATAGAATTCGGGAAAAACTCGCCAAAATGTTCAAGCCCACCCTGGATGTCATCTTTGTATTTGGATTCCAAACTCGTCTTGGTGGTGGCGAGACAATGGACTTTGGCATGACTGATGAGTCCCTGGATTATGCAAAGAAAAAGGAACCCAACGTAGACATGCAAGACGTGGCCTGCGTGAGAAGAAAACGACCTCAAAAGAGCAATGGAAGGAACGCAGGAACAGAATGAAGCAAGTCACGGGGACTCAAAGGCCAGTGCTGGCGCTGGCAAAGAGCTGGAGGAGGAAAGGCGCTACGAGGGTGCCGTCTGCGGCTGCTGTGGCTTTTTACGAGATCAATAAACTAAAAACTTTAAAAAAAAAAAAAAAGACTTCATTCACCTCAAAACATGATGCTATCATCATTCGAAGAATATTAACAATTCCAGGCCGGACGCGGTGGCTGGTGCCAGCATTTGGGAGGCCAAGGTTAAGCGGGTCACCTGAGACCAGGAGTTTGAGACCAGCTTGGCCAACATGGGGAAACCGCATCTCTACTGAAAATACAAAAATTAGCCAGGTGCTGCGGCTCACGCCTGTAATCCCAGCTCCTCAGGAGGCTGAGGTACGAGAATCGCTTGAACCCGGGAAGCAGAGGTTGCAGTGAGCCAAGATGGTGCCATTGTACTCCAGCCTGGGTGACAGACTGATGCTCCCTCTTAAACAAAAACAAACAAAATTCCATATAGTATCACTTGAATTTCCCAGTTAGCCAGGAATACATTTATACCTGTTTCCTTCCGACCCTCACCAGGACCCAGAATTCGCACTCTGTATTCACTATCACTTTAGTCTCTGTTAATCGAGACGAGACCCATGATATTTTAGAAACACTGAAATTCTGAATTCTAACTTTTCCAGAATGGTTTTCCTGAAGGACGTCCTCGCTGCACCTGTTTGTTTCCTCATGGTGCTGTTTAACAAGCTCAAGGGGAGTTATATCCAAAGTGTTTAATTTATCCCCTGAGGGCTGAGCAAACAGGCTGCTGGGCCCCACCCCCAGGACATCTGATTCAATAGGTCCTGGGTGGGTCCAAGACTCTTTGCCTTTTTTGGGGGGTGGGGAGGGACAGGGTCTTGCTCTGTCACCCAGGCTGAAGTGTGATGGTGTGATCTCAGCTCGCTGCAGCCTTGCCTTTCTGGGCCGAAGCGATCCTCCCATCTCAGACTCCCGAGTAGCTAGGACTACAAGCCTGTACCACCACACCCAGCTAACTTTTGTATTATTTTTTATAGAGACAGTGATGTGGTTTGGCTGTGTTCTCTCCCAAATCTCATTTTGATTTGTAATCCCTGTAAGTCCAGGGAGGGACCTAGAAGGAGGTGATTGGGTTACAGGACAGTTTCCTCCATGCTGTTCTCATGCTAGTGAGTGACTCTCATGAGACCTGATGGTTTAAAAGTACCAGGCCGGGTGCGGTGGCTCAAGCCTATAATCCCACTGCTTTGGGAGGCCGAGGCGGGTGGATCACAAGGTCAAGAGATCGAAACTATCCTGGTCAACATGGTGAAACCCCGTCTCTACTAAAAATACAAAAAATTAGCTGGGCATGGTGGCGCGTGCCTGTAATCCCAGCTACTCAGGAGGCTGAGGCAGGAGAATTTCCTGAACCCAAGAGGTGGAGGTTGCAGTGAGCCGAGATCGTGCCATTGCACTCCAGCCTGGGTAGCAAGAGCGAAACTCCATCTCAAAAATAAATAAATTAATTAATTAAATAAAATAAAAGCACCTGGCAGTTTCCCCCTCGCTCTTGCTCTCTCTCTCCTGCCACCATGTAAGACATGCTTTGCTTCCCCCTCAACTTCCACCATGATTATAAGTTTCCTGAGGCCTCCCCAGCCATGTGGAACTGTGAGTCAATTAAACCTCTATTATTTATAAATTACCCAGCCTCGGGTAGTTCCCTATAGCAGTGTGGAAACCAACGAATACAGATGGGATCTCGCTATGTTGCCCAGGCTGGTCTTGAACTCCTGAGTTCAAGCAATCTGCCTGCCTTGGCTTCCCAAAGTACTGGGATTATAGACATGAGGCACCATGCCCAGCCAAATCTGCACCTCTTACAAGTTTGCCAGGGAGGCTCCTGCTACTGCTGCTGATCTGTGGGTCACTTTGAGATCCAACAGCTTAGGCACAATGAACTCTATGCATCTGGGGACAGAGAGGATGGTGGGGAAAAGTGTGACACAACCATCTGGAATGGGCAAGCGCAAATCTAGGGCAGGCCTGAGACAGGAGGCCTCACCCTGGGGCTCCTCTGGTCCCTAACGACACCTAAGGTGTGAACATCTCAGACTTCCCCAAAACGATCAGACTCCGCACGCCTGACCAGTGTC